ACCGATTGTAACCTGCATCTGTCGGTCACGTCAGGGGAAACAGAGTGAGGCTGCCAAATAGGGCAGGGCGCGCCTTCCCCACACTGACTCATGTAAAGCACTGACAGCAAGGTGTTAGTAACCATCCTCTGCTACCAAAATTGTGAAAAACGCCAATCACTTGTTTCCAAAATTTTAAAAGTTTAATAGTAATAAAATGGTTATAAAAATAGTAATACAATTAGAGTATTAATAATTTGGACAATTTGAATTAGGACAATATGAGACAACAAATACAAAGAGTTACGGACGTCCGGGTACCTTTTTCAGGGTAGCACGAGCCCGAAAAAGGACCCCCGTTAACAAAGGATTAACCCTTAAAAGCAATAGCCTGTTGCATAGTCATACACTTCATACATGATGCATAAATACCATTCCAATACAGGATTCTGTCTGGTCATCATCAACTTCTTCCTCTGAACACTAACAGCGCCTTCAAGGCGGGAAGAAGTTAGTTTCTTCTGATAAGAGGGCAATAAATTCTTTTTCTCTGAAAGATTTAGGTGTCCTGTGGCTGCTATCTCGCTGTGAGTCCTTTCTTTAAAAAAAGTACCTTACATAGCATCGTTGCTATTTTAACATTTTTTATAACCTAAAACTATATTTAACCCAGTATTTAAGAGAATTAATACAGCATTACTTTCTAACAAAACACATATAATATTCATTTTGATATTTGTGATAAGCCAATCATAAAATACATTAATTTTTCACACAGCTACAGCTGCAGAGTTTCTGATACATCTCGTCAACCACTCCGGGATTTTGTTTGTCCCTGTTGTTCCAGCTTGCGGCTTCCAAGGTTCCTGCTACAGCTCCTTTTGCTATGAAGAGGGGCATCAGGATAAGCTGCCCCTGAGGAAGAGGGAGGAGAATTGGCTGCTGCCGCCGCCGACGGAACCCAGCCCTGTCCTGCTTCTTCTGCCTCTGCCGTGGGTGAGCCTTTGCTCGTGAAAGCAGCCCCTGAACTGGGATGTTATTGTCATAGATGAATAATGCGATGGTTGACTCTCACAATTAAAAGGCAAATATCATGTATATATATTAAGAGAAGTTTTAAAGACTTATGTTTTACCCCCCCCCCCTTGCATTGTTATCAGGAAGTGGCCTGGGTTCTGTACATTTGGGAGGGTCGGCTTGTTACTATGGCAACATCTAACCTCCAATCAAGATTTAAGGAAGCAAACTCCACCACTGGACAGCGAAGAAGGAATCGATGGACAGAACTTTGGGAGCGGCTAAAGGGTTAAAAGGTGAAACCACCATTGTGTGGATGAGCACATGGCGGGAAAAATCCTTTCCTCTCGGTGCCGTAATATTTTCTCTATTCAGTCTTCTGTTGTAGTTTTGATAAGGTTTTAATAAACCTTTTAAAATTTTTTAGAAGTGAGTATAATTTCTCACATTATTAACACCCTACCTCACTAAAAAAAAGGGCTCTCACCATCTGCTCGGGTACCTCAGGGGAAACCCCGGGATCCCGAGCCCTTTCCCCCTCCCAGAGAGCCTCTCCCTGCCGGATTTGGGAGCCGGGCTGCCACTGCCCGGCCCCCACCGTTTCTTTACCACTGCTCCGGGTTTTTGCTACACTGTAGCCCAGACACCCTGCCTGCTGGGACGCCCGGCGGTTCCAGCTACAGCTGCGGAGTTTCTGATACATCTCGTCTACCACTCCGGGATTTTGTTCGTCCCTGTTGTTCCAGCTTGCTGCTTCCGAGGTCCCTGCTACAGCTCCTTTTGCTATGCAGAGGGGCATCAGGATCAGCTGCTCCTGGGGGTTTGTAAAGGAAGCCCCTTTCCCATCCCTTCTGCCGGCTGTGCCCGCCATTGTCCACGTGCAGAGAGACGACTGATGTCATGTCACAGCGCCCCCTGCAGCCGCGGGGAAATCGTCTCACCTGCCCTGCCCAGCTGAGGAGCCATCAACGCCCCTGCCGGCTGTGACCATAACTACACCAAAGGGGAAAGTGCCTGACAGCCGAGAGAAGGCTGTTACTGGGTTTCTGGTTTTGTTTGTTGTTGCTGCCGTTGTTGTTGTTCGTTTGCCTTGTTATACATACTAGTAAAGAACTGTTATTCCTTTTCCCATATCTTTGCCTGAAAGCCCCTTAATTTCAAAGCTATTCGGAGGGAAGGGGGTCATATTCTCCATTCCAAGGGAGGTTGCTGCCTTCCTTGGCAGACACTTGTCTTTCAAACCAAGACATATGAAGAACTGTATTTTTAATGTATCATAATAAGCATAACTTATTTGCAGCATTCCCATATCTCAGAAAAACGTAATGTTAAAGTTGGGGAAATATATCATCCCCGATTCATTCAACAGTAGTTTTGTAGAAGTTCTAAGAAGCAATTAAAGAATTGTGCAAGAAAAGTGCCAGAAGAATACACATCTCCTTTAGAGGCCATTTTCAAGTGTAGAATAAAGCATGCCCTTTTAAGGTCAAATTAAGGCCACCAAGAAAAATTAGCATTGGTACCATCCCATTATTATTTTGGACATTGTATTCAGTAAATAACTCTGTATTATTTACTTGGCTGGTATCTCAGTGGTTTAACTATAACTAAATGCTTTTGTAGTTTGTTTTGCTTTAAGTACAGTAGTTAAATATTTCAATGTAGAGTTCTGAAGAGAGAGTTTTTGAGCATCGTCTAATTTTCCTTTACCCTCATGAGATCATCTTAATATATATACACGCACACATAGAAAAAAATAAAGACTATTCTGCTCTGAACACTGAACGACAAAGTCCTTTTAGGGAGTTGGAGAGAGAAAAAAAAATGCAGATAGGGATGTCAAACCTTTCAGCATTACCCTTTTATCCTCTTCCTCCTCCTTCCCCCTCCCCCCCCATCATAAGATGGAGGACATAAGATTTTTATATTCCCTTCATGTCCCATTAACTGTAACTTGTCTTTTCCTAACACTTTCATCCTTTAATCTCCAGGAAGAATTTTTATATTGCACTATGTTTTAAATGCATCATAATAAAATATAAGTTATGGGCAAAGCTTCCCTCCCTAATTTCTATATCAAATAATATTAACTGTGCTATTACTTTACTAGAAAGGATCATTCTGCTACAAGTTTGACATCTCTATTTGCACATCTGAAATGTTTACTTTTTTTCTTAATAACGCAAATGAAAGGATTTTCTAATCAACTTTCAATGTTTCATCCTGCTGCAGTATCCTTAAGGAAAAAAAAACAAAAACAAAAACAAACAAACAAAAAAACCCAAAAAACAGTAAGGCCAGTCAGCATATTGGTTCTTTTCACTATTGCTTTGTATTTGGTTGCACTGGGTCTGGCTGGGATGGAGATAACTTGCCTCATAATAGCCCATATCATGGAGCGTTCACTACACATACTGAGGCCCTGCTTTTCAGGAAGCGGCTGGACATTTGCCTGCTGATGGGAACTAGTGAATTAATTCTTATTTTTGCTTTGCTTCCGCATACAGCTTTTGGTTTTTTTAATTAAAACTGCCTTTATCTTGACCCACAAGCTTGTCCATCTTATTTTCTCTCCCTGGCCTGTTGATGCAGAAGAATGAGAGAACAACTGCACGGAGGGCTGGCAGGCAAGCAAGGTCAAATCACCACATTGGTCTTGTTTTAAATAAATTTTAGAAATATTCCATGGATACAAAATAGCAAGAAATGGTAAGGAGGCAGTGTCAAACTAGTGTTCTTCAGGCCTTTTCCTACCAGCCTTCATTTTTTCCTGTATTATCAAAGATGGCTTCATAGTATTCTTTCAAGTCACTTGACAAGACCTTTAGTGTTTTAATCAATTCTTGTGCTATTTTAGTGGTCATATTTGAACATTTCTTCCAACTCAAGGGAATATCAGTATTATCCTTATCACTTCTTATAGAAGTTTTTAATTTGAACCTTAAATTGATTTCTAAGTTTCCATACATATGCATCCTCTTCAGCATTCTAATAATATCGACTGTAAAAGCCCTGCGCTATTTGCGGAAACTGATCTGTAAAAGCATTTATCATCTGCAAGTTCTGTTAAAGCCAGTCCCTTTAACAAGCAGATGTTTTATTAGCTTTAAAATTAGGTATCAGTCTAATATTCTGCCTATTTTTTTAACCTTAATGACTTTGGCACCTGGCTTTTACAGTAAAAGGCTCCTCCTACCTCCTTTCTTTCATCTATTTCCAGACTCTCTCTGTTCCTTCATATTTAATTTTCCTGCAAATTGTGCTTGAGCTAATTTCCATGTTGGTAACTCCTCTATGGATAAATCTTCCCTTCACAATGCATACATTAGAATCCTCAAATGTGTGTGTGTGTGTGGCAATTTATCTTAAGACTTCTGCTATCACTCTTGCTTCACCTTTGCTTTCTGAGTTAAGTGGGATTAGGTATGGGAATGTTTCTTGCTTCATCCACCCATCCATTTGGTTTTTTTTCCATCCTGGCTGTTTTGTCTAGAGGTCAGCCTGAGTACATACATCCTATTTGAAATAGAAAAAAAAAGCCAAGCAAACTCTTATTTAGTTCAAATGCAGTTAAGCCTGCCACATCTGTTTCAAACTGAGCCTGAACAGTTAAACTGTTATCACTAGGTTCTGATGGCCTGCATGGCTCCAGTAAAATCTTGTTTCATTTAGAAGATACCTCAGCCCCTCTGCAGGACTCAAATGACACCAGTTCCCCTCCCTTCTTCTGTGAAGGGGTCCAATCCTCCATAAGGAGCCAACATACCTCAGTCAAAAGAAAGAGTAACCAACTGGGCAAAAATGAGCTTCTGTTTTGTGAACAACTCTTAACCAGTTTAAAAGCAACCTCTTCAGTTTAATGAGATTTTGTCCTCTAATGCATGTCTGAGCACAACTCCTACTACCACTGAAAAGGTTTCCCTCCCCCCACAAGAATTTTTCTTAAGCAGGTATGTATCTTAGCCTTCTCTCACCCAAGCTGTGTACTGCATGTAAGTACTTACATCTGTGGAAGCTCAAAGCTGAATGCATATTCATGCCTTCCTGAATGAATGATGTGAAGTCCTTCTTCGGAATTGTCATCATCTAGGAGGGAAAAACCCAATATGCTATTCCACCTGTGAATATTTTACACAGCACAATATATTATATAGGTTTCTTTTCCAGCATAAGAGGGATTTATACATTCTTTACAATACTAAGAATACAGTGTCTCAGAAACAAGTCTCTCCAGTCCATTTGTATTAACTGCTAGATGTATAGCTGCAGAATTTTTAAGGTTAGGTGAGATTCCAAGACTTGTCTGACATAAAAGCAGAAGTTAACTTGTTTTAATTTATGATCTTGTGAAAAACAGAGTTCACTCCTTGGAATTTTTAAAAGTTTAATAATTATAGGATAAAGAAGGACAATATTTCCAGCGCTGGGGTGCTCCTGGCCAACAGCCAAAGAACACACCAGTACATACAGTGTTATCTTTATACCTTTACATCTGACTGGGGTACATGCATATTCATGTCTTTCATACATTATTCAAACATTCTTTCGAACTTTCTGATGTTTTAGGAACTCCTTTGTTTGGCTTCTTCTCACTCCAGCTTATCTGCATGACAACCTGGGTGTCAGGTCAATATATTTTATTTCTTCTTGTGTCTCCATCCTGCTGTTTCACATCCTCTGATAAGGATTTACTATGTCCTCTTTAAATTTAACATGGTATTCTCTAATTGTCCTCCAGTGCTCTGGTTTGTGTCATGGTTATCTTATCACTTGGACAGGTCAGTCAGTGCATGGCCTTACACCGTTCTTCTAAATTACAAAAAGCCCTTTTCACATCTTATGTTTTACTAAGGTCTATAGTACAATACATTCATCACAATACTATTTCTATAAGAGATACATAGATATTATCTTCATTACACTACTATTTCTATGAGCAATACAGGGCATACTTAAGCTGATTATGTTATATTAACAAGCAGCTAGAAAGAATTATGATTTTTACTATACTAAATACTTATAATCAATAACAACATGCAAAAGCTACTACATAAATGTAAAAGCCAATATTATCTGGTCATTTTTAACAATCTTAAATCCAAGTACTAACATAGCTGTAACTGCTGCCATTTCAAGGTCTGCCTGAAAGATCTGTAATGGAAACTGTTTTCCAATATGACTTCTAGTTAAAACTTAAAATTAAATAGAACTCTCTAATAGTATTAAGTGATCTTAGTATTTTCTGCTACATTAATTGATTACATTTAGTAATTCAGCTTCCTCCTACCGCCTGCATAGCAAGTGTCCAAAAATTGATTTTTTTAAAAAGTGCACAAGCACCACCTAGAAAGTACCAAACAAATTCAGGGGCACAAGAAGTGGCAAGCTGTCCAATTAATGCTATTAAGAGTTAATGTATCAAAAATTCAAAGTTTAGCTCGATTTTGCTTGGATAGCAAAGACCCAAACATTTCCTAATTTCAATGAGAAAGCTGACCTTGTTTTAGAGTCATGATTTCTTGTATTGCTTGAAATGCCCCAATAAATTTGTGGTTTATTCCGATATAATTACCATGAACCCAGAAAAAAACCCTGCTGATTCCAACAGAATAGACATTTATTTAGATAAAACAATTGAGCATCTCATATACAAAAGGGTTGGCATAATAAAGGCACACATAGTGGGATTACACAAAAGACCCTTCCTGTTGTTAATAGTCTGAAGCATCATGAAGGAACGCTGCTACATTTTAAGATTTTTTAGTTCCCACTGTTCTACAAAAGTGCTGATGCTCCAATTTCTTTAGTGCACCAGAAATGCTGAAACAAACCTATGCAAAAATATACACCCCCTAGAACACTATTTATGTAAATGCCCCTGCAGCATGTAATGTCACAAAATAACAATCTTCAATACACTGAAAGAGCAAAGCAATGTGTATAATGCTTTTTGTTGCTGTTGTTGTTAAAAAAACGCTTGGAGGGCTTTGCTTGGTTTTAATTAAAAATAATAGCGTTTTCCTTGCACATACGTTTTTTCATCCCTTCTTCACTTCCTGTCAGATCAGCAGTCCCACTGAGCCTGAACAGCAGCAGCGGAATTATGGTAAGCAAGTACTGAGCTGTCAATCACAGACTAGGCTGGAGCAGGACTGGCCTAAACAGGCACGAGCACATCCCCTGCCAACCACTCATATACATACAATATACATGACACCCCACTACATTTGCTCAGCAACTCTGCTCACAGTCTGGCCTGACTACCGCAGAGGTAAGGAGAAAGGGGGAGGGCCATCACCCACGCCTCACCATTCGCTCTCCTCATACCACAGAGCCATGCTGCTGGCTTGCCCCGTGTAGACACCCCAATCCTGCACTTCTCTCAGGAGCGTGTGCTGACCATTACTGAAAGGCGATTACAGATCGTGCTGGCCAGGGGCGTGGGCCAGGAGAGATAACCGAGTGAGCGATGCAAGAGGCTGCGGGGCCGTGTGTCCCAACGGCCGCCCCTGCTCACAACTCCTTGCTGGCCCAGTGGATGTGCACGGCAGGAGCTTGAATACTTCTGTCTGTCCCCAGAGGTGGGCATTCCCAAGAAAGGCAATGTGCCCTCTGCAGCCACTTTGCTCCGCCTCCCAGCACACACTAGAGAGCGGGCAAAGGAACTTCCCCCACGTCCCAGGCCCCTACAATCAGCGGCTGGCATCACCCCAGCAACAGGCTAACAAACCCCAGCAGGCCAATGACAAGGCGGGGACAGGGAGTAATCTTCCAGACTATGCTAGGGTACAAGGCGTAGAGATAAACTCCACTCTCTGCAGCGAGTGTTCACAGTCCTGCCCTGCAGCCAAGGGAAGGATAGTGGTGTCTTGGGACAACTGCTTAAGATTGAACGTGCTGCACGTGCAGCACCAGTCTTGCTTCTGGTGTTGGAACGTGTCAGATCTGTCCCTTCCCTGCCACCATTTGTTCCCTTTCCAGACAAAACCAAGCACCTACTATCGAGGTCAGCATTTGGATCTACAGGCCACATAGAAAGTCATTGCGTCTGCTTAAGCTGACAGAAGCATAGGATCTCCTTCTTACTTGTAAGGATACATCCTGCTATGAGTGACTCCTGCATGCTTGCATGTTTCTGTCATCTGCAAGCCAGAGGTGAATGAATTTTTCGCATGAGAGAATTATTTCTAAGGCAGCAGTATAAAGAACATGTGAACTAGAAAGACATCTCATGAGCGACCCGAACTTGCTTGCATCATGGTAACATAATTAAAATCGATAGCAACTGCTTTGTAGAAGATTTCTGCAGTAAATATCTTTCAAATTAAAAAACAAAACAAAGACACACACACAAAAAAAAACAACACCCCCCCCCCCCCCCCCCCCCACCCCGCAACAAAGTCAAAACAACATACCAAAACACCAAAACACCCAACCAAATTATGTACTCCGTTTTAACATTTTCTCGTTCTAGGAATTGAGTCATCACCACCACCTGATGTGCGCAACCAATATGCAGAGAGAAGGAATACTCCCTCCCTTCTTCCCGGGACAGGCCCCAAACAGGATTGAACCGCTTCTAACAAAGGGTGGAAACTTCAGAAATAACAAGCTTAGAGTCCCTTGTACGTTCACAACAACGTAACTATGCAAACAATAGATTAGCAAATTTAAGACCCACAGTCCCACTCACAATGTAATACCCCATTTCCATACCCCAAAATAAGGGAATTTGCAGGGCACTTTCCATTTCTATAGGAGCTTAGCAGACCAGGTTTTCATTGAATGCAGGTTCCAGAACTCCTCAACTCAGAAGCGATGCTCCATTCATACAACCATGACCTCTTATTTGGCCTTTCAGACAGATTTTTCCATCTGGGTCCCCCATAGAGGAGTTGAATAAAAGAAATTAAAGTAATTTACAAGTATACTGGTTTAGAACAAAGGAAGAAATGGAAAATTACGGGTGCAGTAGTGATAGCATATCAAAGTAATCCACAGGAAATCTTTTATCTGCCAACAATGAATCAACCTCAAAAATAATTCTGCAAGTCAGACCTGTATCTGTTATGTGTCAAAACGTCTAATGGTACATCTTAATTACACTTATGATTCGATAGGATGCTACCAAGAAAATAATTTACTACAAATCTGGTTTTGACTCAACAGCTATTTTCCCCATAGAGAAACAAATCACACTAATATTGCTAAAGAAAAAAAAGGAATTTTATATTACAAAACACATATTAAAAACCAATGCAAATCCTTATGAAAAGACTGTTAAAAGGCAGGTATTTTTTAAAAGTCCTGTCTTCAGGTACTTTGAAAATGCACCTCAACATGCTTTTAAGTAAACGTTCAAATAGTCAAAAATACAACCTAAGAATGTAACCAGCATTTCCTCATCTTTAGAAATAGTGAACGCTCTGAGACTGCATATTAAGGAGGGATAAACCAAGCAAAGATACATCTTTTTCGGGAAATATGTCTGCATGTAATGAATGAATAAGCGAAAAGCTTACCTCTTGCATGCCCGACTAGAACGTCCTTATAGTTAAAATACTCTACTTCTTCAGTGTAATTTTGTGTATAGGCAGTGTTGGATCCAGCATTTCTAGATTCGCTCCAACGTACTTTTGCATGTCCTCTTGCATGAATTTTAAGAGCTTTCACTCTAATTTCCCCAGTAACTTCTAAACTGATCCTTCCTGAGACTGTGTCCCCGCTAGAATACACGGGGATATTGCTGTTACTGAGACAGTCAAAGCTTATTGTCAAACTCTTCACCTTCCCCAGCACCATGATTTTTAACGAAGTGTATAAAAATATACTGCAAGGAAAACAAAAAAAAGTCAAGGTCTCATACAAAACGCGACCTTCACTTTACACTGAACAACGCCTCTGCTGCGTAGAGCCTGCCAACAAGATCAGCGTGTCCCCTACGAACGCTTCATCGGAATTGCTGAGAAGACAACGACAGCCGCCCAACACTACGATATACGTACAAAGGCAGCTGGCCCGCACGCTGCCAGCTCACTTTAAGAACAGCTTTGTGAAAAACAACCACCCCCGCGCATGCGCGAAGCGAGTCGTAGCAGCGGTTTCCTCCTCCACCGCTTGCCTGTCTTTCCTGCCGCGTTCGTTTTTTTTTTTTTTTTTTTTTTTGTGTTATCGCTTCCATCTCCTGCAGAGAGTCAGAGCACTCCCTGGTGGAGTCAGGGCTCTGCTACGAGTTCGCAGTACGGTATTGAAATACGTACTGAAGAACTGAGAGAAAAACGTCGGGGGGAGGGGGCGCTAGGGCTCCTTGTCCAGAGGGTCATCTCAATCTCATCTCATCTGTCACGGCCTGGGGATCCTGGCTTGCTGGTTGGGAGGTGGGATTAGCCCCTTCACGAACAAAAGCTTTGGGCAAGGTCTGTAACTGAGCAACGTGCCGAGCATTTCCCTGACTAAATCGTTGCATCTTTACTGTTAGCCAGGCAACCCCGCGCTGAGTGGGAGAAGCCGTGCCGTCTACTGCCAGAATCCAGGTCCTGGTGCCCACCGACTGCTGCCCGATTTCAGCTGCCAGCTTCTTCCTAGACACCTCCCAACCAGCAAGCCAGGATCCCCAGGCCGTGACAGATGAGATGAGATTGAGATGACCCTCTGGACAAGGAGCCCTAGCGCCCCCTCCCCCCGACGTTTTTCTCTCAGTTCTTCAGTACGTATTTCAATACCGTACTGCGAACTCGTAGCAGAGCCCTGACTCCACCAGGGAGTGCTCTGACTCTCTGCAGGAGATGGAAGCGATAACACAAAAAAAAAAAAAAAAAAAAAAACGAACGCGGCAGGAAAGACAGGCAAGCGGTGGAGGAGGAAACCGCTGCTACGACTCGCTTCGCGCATGCGCGGGGGTGGTTGTTTTTCACAAAGCTGTTCTTAAAGTGAGCTGGCAGCGTGCGGGCCAGCTGCCTTTGTACGTATATCGTAGTGTTGGGCGGCTGTCGTTGTCTTCTCAGCAATTCCGATGAAGCGTTCGTAGGGGACACGCTGATCTTGTTGGCAGGCTCTACGCAGCAGAGGCGTTGTTCAGTGTAAAGTGAAGGTCGCGTTTTGTATGAGACCTTGACTTTTTTTTGTTTTCCTTGCAGTATATTTTTATACACTTCGTTAAAAATCATGGTGCTGGGGAAGGTGAAGAGTTTGACAATAAGCTTTGACTGTCTCAGTAACAGCAATATCCCCGTGTATTCTAGCGGGGACACAGTCTCAGGAAGGATCAGTTTAGAAGTTACTGGGGAAATTAGAGTGAAAGCTCTTAAAATTCATGCAAGAGGACATGCAAAAGTACGTTGGAGCGAATCTAGAAATGCTGGATCCAACACTGCCTATACACAAAATTACACTGAAGAAGTAGAGTATTTTAACTATAAGGACGTTCTAGTCGGGCATGCAAGAGGTAAGCTTTTCGCTTATTCATTCATTACATGCAGACATATTTCCCGAAAAAGATGTATCTTTGCTTGGTTTATCCCTCCTTAATATGCAGTCTCAGAGCGTTCACTATTTCTAAAGATGAGGAAATGCTGGTTACATTCTTAGGTTGTATTTTTGACTATTTGAACGTTTACTTAAAAGCATGTTGAGGTGCATTTTCAAAGTACCTGAAGACAGGACTTTTAAAAAATACCTGCCTTTTAACAGTCTTTTCATAAGGATTTGCATTGGTTTTTAATATGTGTTTTGTAATATAAAATTCCTTTTTTTTCTTTAGCAATATTAGTGTGATTTGTTTCTCTATGGGGAAAATAGCTGTTGAGTCAAAACCAGATTTGTAGTAAATTATTTTCTTGGTAGCATCCTATCGAATCATAAGTGTAATTAAGATGTACCATTAGACGTTTTGACACATAACAGATACAGGTCTGACTTGCAGAATTATTTTTGAGGTTGATTCATTGTTGGCAGATAAAAGATTTCCTGTGGATTACTTTGATATGCTATCACTACTGCACCCGTAATTTTCCATTTCTTCCTTTGTTCTAAACCAGTATACTTGTAAATTACTTTAATTTCTTTTATTCAACTCCTCTATGGGGGACCCAGATGGAAAAATCTGTCTGAAAGGCCAAATAAGAGGTCATGGTTGTATGAATGGAGCATCGCTTCTGAGTTGAGGAGTTCTGGAACCTGCATTCAATGAAAACCTGGTCTGCTAAGCTCCTATAGAAATGGAAAGTGCCCTGCAAATTCCCTTATTTTGGGGTATGGAAATGGGGTATTACATTGTGAGTGGGACTGTGGGTCTTAAATTTGCTAATCTATTGTTTGCATAGTTACGTTGTTGTGAACGTACAAGGGACTCTAAGCTTGTTATTTCTGAAGTTTCCACCCTTTGTTAGAAGCGGTTCAATCCTGTTTGGGGCCTGTCCCGGGAAGAAGGGAGGGAGTATTCCTTCTCTCTGCATATTGGTTGCGCACATCAGGTGGTGGTGATGACTCAATTCCTAGAACGAGAAAATGTTAAAACGGAGTACATAATTTGGTTGGGTGTTTTGGTGTTTTGGTATGTTGTTTTGACTTTGTTGCGGGGTGGGGGGGGGGGGGGGGGGGGGTGTTGTTTTTTTTGTGTGTGTGTCTTTGTTTTGTTTTTTAATTTGAAAGATATTTACTGCAGAAATCTTCTACAAAGCAGTTGCTATCGATTTTAATTATGTTACCATGATGCAAGCAAGTTCGGGTCGCTCATGAGATGTCTTTCTAGTTCACATGTTCTTTATACTGCTGCCTTAGAAATAATTCTCTCATGCGAAAAATTCATTCACCTCTGGCTTGCAGATGACAGAAACATGCAAGCATGCAGGAGTCACTCATAGCAGGATGTATCCTTACAAGTAAGAAGGAGATCCTATGCTTCTGTCAGCTTAAGCAGACGCAATGACTTTCTATGTGGCCTGTAGATCCAAATGCTGACCTCGATAGTAGGTGCTTGGTTTTGTCTGGAAAGGGAACAAATGGTGGCAGGGAAGGGACAGATCTGACACGTTCCAACACCAGAAGCAAGACTGGTGCTGCACGTGCAGCACGTTCAATCTTAAGCAGTTGTCCCAAGACACCACTATCCTTCCCTTGGCTGCAGGGCAGGACTGTGAACACTCGCTGCAGAGAGTGGAGTTTATCTCTACGCCTTGTACCCTAGCATAGTCTGGAAGATTACTCCCTGTCCCCGCCTTGTCATTGGCCTGCTGGGGTTTGTTAGCCTGTTGCTGGGGTGATGCCAGCCGCTGATTGTAGGGGCCTGGGACGTGGGGGAAGTTCCTTTGCCCGCTCTCTAGTGTGTGCTGGGAGGCGGAGCAAAGTGGCTGCAGAGGGCACATTGCCTTTCTTGGGAATGCCCACCTCTGGGGACAGACAGAAGTATTCAAGCTCCTGCCGTGCACATCCACTGGGCCAGCAAGGAGTTGTGAGCAGGGGCGGCCGTTGGGACACACGGCCCCGCAGCCTCTTGCATCGCTCACTCGGTTATCTCTCCTGGCCCACGCCCCTGGCCAGCACGATCTGTAATCGCCTTTCAGTAATGGTCAGCACACGCTCCTGAGAGAAGTGCAGGATTGGGGTGTCTACACGGGGCAAGCCAGCAGCATGGCTCTGTGGTATGAGGAGAGCGAATGGTGAGGCGTGGGTGATGGCCCTCCCCCTTTCTCCTTACCTCTGCGGTAGTCAGGCCAGACTGTGAGCAGAGTTGCTGAGCAAATGTAGTGGGGTGTCATGTATATTGTATGTATATGAGTGGTTGGCAGGGGATGTGCTCGTGCCTGTTTAGGCCAGTCCTGCTCCAGCCTAGTCTGTGATTGACAGCTCAGTACTTGCTTACCATAATTCCGCTGCTGCTGTTCAGGCTCAGTGGGACTGCTGATCTGACAGGAAGTGAAGAAGGGATGAAAAAACGTATGTGCAAGGAAAACGCTATTATTTTTAATTAAAACCAAGCAAAGCCCTCCAAGCGTTTTTTTAACAACAACAGCAACAAAAAGCATTATACACATTGCTTTGCTCTTTCAGTGTATTGAAGATTGTTATTTTGTGACATTACATGCTGCAGGGGCATTTACATAAATAGTGTTCTAGGGGGTGTATATTTTTGCATAGGTTTGTTTCAGCATTTCTGGTGCACTAAAGAAATTGGAGCATCAGCACTTTTGTAGAACAGTGGGAACTAAAAAATCTTAAAATGTAGCAGCGTTCCTTCATGATGCTTCAGACTATTAACAACAGGAAGGGTCTTTTGTGTAATCCCACTATGTGTGCCTTTATTATGCCAACCCTTTTGTATATGAGATGCTCAATTGTTTTATCTAAATAAATGTCTATTCTGTTGGAATCAGCAGGGTTTTTTTCTGGGTTCATGGTAATTATATCGGAATAAACCACAAATTTATTGGGGCATTTCAAGCAATACAAGAAATCATGACTCTAAAACAAGGTCAGCTTTCTCATTGAAATTAGGAAATGTTTGGGTCTTTGCTATCCAAGCAAAATCGAGCTAAACTTTGAATTTTTGATACATTAACTCTTAATAGCATTAATTGGACAGCTTGCCACTTCTTGTGCCCCTGAATTTGTTTGGTACTTTCTAGGTGGTGCTTGTGCACTTTTTAAAAAAATCAATTTTTGGACACTTGCTATGCAGGCGGTAGGAGGAAGCTGAATTACTAAATGTAATCAATTAATGTAGCAGAAAATACTAAGATCACTTAATACTATTAGAGAGTTCTATTTAATTTTAAGTTTTAACTAGAAGTCATATTGGAAAACAGTTTCCATTACAGATCTTTCAGGCAGACCTTGAAATGGCAGCAGTTACAGCTATGTTAGTACTTGGATTTAAGATTGTTAAAAATGACCAGATAATATTGGCTTTTACATTTATGTAGTAGCTTTTGCATGTTGTTATTGATTATAAGTATTTAGTATAGTAAAAATCATAATTCTTTCTAGCTGCTTGTTAATATAACATAATCAGCTTAAGTATGCCCTGTATTGCTCATAGAAATAGTAGTGTAATGAAGATAATATCTATGTATCTCTTATAGAAATAGTATTGTGATGAATGTATTGTACTATAGACCTTAGTAAAACATAAGATGTGAAAAGGGCTTTTTGTAATTTAGAAGAACGGTGTAAGGCCATGCACTGACTGACCTGTCCAAGTGATAAGATAACCATGACACAAACCAGAGCACTGGAGGACAATTAGAGAATACCATGTTAAATTTAAAGAGGACATAGTAAATCCTTATCAGAGGATGTGAAACAGCAGGATGGAGACACAAGAAGAAATAAAATATATTGACCTGACACCCAGGTTGTCATGCAGATAAGCTGGAGTGAGAAGAAGCCAAACAAAGGAGTTCCTAAAACATCAGAAAGTTCGAAAGAATGTTTGAATAATGTATGAAAGACATGAATATGCATGTACCCCAGTCAGATGTAAAGGTATAAAGATAACACTGTATGTACTGGTGTGTTCTTTGGCTGTTGGCCAGGAGCACCCCAGCGCTGGAAATATTGTCCTTCTTTATCCTATAATTATTAAACTTTTAAAAATTCCAAGGAGTGAACTCTGTTTTTCACAAGATCATAAATTAAAACAAGTTAACTTCTGCTTTTATGTCAGACAAGTCTTGGAATCTCACCTAACCTTAAAAATTCTGCAGCTATACATCTAGCAGTTAATACAAATGGACTGGAGAGACTTGTTTCTGAGACACTGTATTCTTAGTATTGTAAAGAATGTATAAATCCCTCTTATGCTGGAAAAGAAACCTATATAATATATTGTGCTGTGTAAAATATTCACAGGTGGAATAGCATATTGGGTTTTTCCCTCCTAGATGATGACAATTCCGAAGAAGGACTTCACATCATTCATTCAGGAAGGCATGAATATGCATTCAGCTTTGAGCTTCCACAGATGTAAGTACTTACATGCAGTACACAGCTTGGGTGAGAGAAGGCTAAGATACATACCTGCTTAAGAAAAATTCTTGTGGGGGGAGGGAAACCTTTTCAGTGGTAGTAGGAGTTGTGCTCAGACATGCATTAGAGGACAAAATCTCATTAAACTGAAGAGGTTGCTTTTAAACTGGTTAAGAGTTGTTCACAAAACAGAAGCTCATTTTTGCCCAGTTGGTTACTCTTTCTTTTGACTGAGGTATGTTGGCTCCTTATGGAGGATTGGACCCCTTCACAGAAGAAGGGAGGGGAACTGGTGTCATTTGAGTCCTGCAGAGGGGCTGAGGTATCTTCTAAATGAAACAAGATTTTACTGGAGCCATGCAGGCCATCAGAACCTAGTGATAACAGTTTAACTGTTCAGGCTCAGTTTGAAACAGATGTGGCAGGCTTAACTGCATTTGAACTAAATAAGAGTTTGCTTGGCTTTTTTTTTCTATTTCAAATAGGATGTATGTACTCAGGCTGACCTCTAGACAAAACAGCCAGGATGGAAAAAAAACCAAATGGATGGGTGGATGAAGCAAGAAACATTCCCATACCTAATCCCACTTAACTCAGAAAGCAAAGGTGAAGCAAGAGTGATAGCAGAAGTCTTAAGATAAATTGCCACACACACACACACATTTGAGGATTCTAATGTATGCATTGTGAAGGGAAGATTTATCCATAGAGGAGTTACCAACATGGAAATTAGCTCAAGCACAATTTGCAGGAAAATTAAATATGAAGGAACAGAGAGAGTCTGGAAATAGATGAAAGAAAGGAGGTAGGAGGAGCCTTTTACTGTAAAAGCCAGGTGCCAAAGTCATTAAGGTTAAAAAAATAGGCAGAATATTAGACTGATACCTAATTTTAAAGCTAATAAAACATCTGCTTGTTAAAGGGACTGGCTTTAACAGAACTTGCAGATGATAAATGCTTTTACAGATCAGTTTCCGCAAATAGCGCAGGGCTTTTACAGTCGATATTATTAGAATGCTGAAGAGGATGCATATGTATGGAAACTTAGAAATCAATTTAAGGTTCAAATTAAAAACTTCTATAAGAAGTGATAAGGATAATACTGATATTCCCTTGAGTTGGAAGAAATGTTCAAATATGACCACTAAAATAGCACAAGAATTGATTAAAACACTAAAGGTCTTGTCAAGTGACTTGAAAGAATACTATGAAGCCATCTTTGATAATACAGGAAAAAATGAAGGCTGGTAGGAAAAGGCCTGAAGAACACTAGTTTGACACTGCCTCCTTACCATTTCTTGCTATTTTGTATCCATGGAATATTTCTAAAATTTATTTAAAACAAGACCAATGTGGTGATTTGACCTTGCTTGCCTGCCAGCCCTCCGTGCAGTTGTTCTCTCATTCTTCTGCATCAACAGGCCAGGGAGAGAAAATAAGATGGACAAGCTTGTGGGTCAAGATAAAGGCAGTTTTAATTAAAAAAACCAAAAGCTGTATGCGGAAGCAAAGCAAAAATAAGAATTAATTCACTAGTTCCCATCAGCAGGCAAATGTCCAGCCGCTTCCTGAAAAGCAGGGCCTCAGTATGTGTAGTGAACGCTCCATGATATGGGCTATTATGAGGCAAGTTATCTCCATCCCAGCCAGACCCAGTGCAACCAAATACAAAGCAATAGTGAAAAGAACCAATATGCTGACTGGCCTTACTGTTTTTTGGGTTTTTTTGTTTGTTTGTTTTTGTTTTTGTTTTTTTTTCCTTAAGGATACTGCAGCAGGATGAAACATTGAAAGTTGATTAGAAAATCCTTTCATTTGCGTTATTAAGAAAAAAAGTAAACATTTCAGATGTGCAAATAGAGATGTCAAACTTGTAGCAGAATGATCCTTTCTAGTAAAGTAATAGCACAGTTAATATTATTTGATATAGAAATTAGGGAGGGAAGCTTTGCCCATAACTTATATTTTATTATGATGCATTTAAAACATAGTGCAATATAAAAATTCTTCCTGGAGATTAAAGGATGAAAGTGTTAGGAAAAGACAAGTTACAGTTAATGGGACATGAAGGGAATATAAAAATCTTATGTCCTCCATCTTATGATGGGGGGGGAGGGGGAAGGAGGAGGAAGAGGATAAAAGGGTAATGCTGAAAGGTTTGACATCCCTATCTGCATTTTTTTTTCTCTCTCCAACTCCCTAAAAGGACTTTGTCGTTCAGTGTTCAGAGCAGAATAGTCTTTATTTTTTTCTATGTGTGCGTGTATATATATTAAGATGATCTCATGAGGGTAAAGGAAAATTAGACGATGCTCAAAAACTCTCTCTTCAGAACTCTACATTGAAATATTTAACTACTGTACTTAAAGCAAAACAAACTACAAAAGCATTTAGTTATAGTTAAACCACTGAGATACCAGCCAAGTAAATAATACAGAGTTATTTACTGAATACAATGTCCAAAATAATAATGGGATGGTACCAATGCTAATTTTTCTTGGTGGCCTTAATTTGACCTTAAAAGGGCATGCTTTATTCTACACTTGAAAATGGCCTCTAAAGGAGATGTGTATTCTTCTGGCACTTTTCTTGCACAATTCTTTAATTGCTTCTTAGAACTTCTACAAAACTACTGTTGAATGAATCGGGGATGATATATTTCCCCAACTTTAACATTACGTTTTTCTGAGATATGGGAATGCTGCAAATAAGTTATGCTTATTATGATACATTAAAAATACAGTTCTTCATATGTCTTGGTTTGAAAGACAAGTGTCTGCCAAGGAAGGCAGCAACCTCCCTTGGAATGGAGAATATGACCCCCTTCCCTCCGAATAGCTTTGAAATTAAGGGGCTTTCAGGCAAAGATATGGGAAAAGGAATAACAGTTCTTTACTAGTATGTATAACAAGGCAAACGAACAACAACAACGGCAGCAACAACAAACAAAACCAGAAACCCAGTAACAGCCTTCTCTCGGCTGTCAGGCACTTTCCCCTTTGGTGTAGTTATGGTCACAGCCGGCAGGGGCGTTGATGGCTCCTCAGCTGGGCAGGGCAGGTGAGACGATTTCCCCGCGGCTGCAGGGGGCGCTGTGACATGACATCAGTCGTCTCTCTGCACGTGGACAATGGCGGGCACAGCCGGCAGAAGGGATGGGAAAGGGGCTTCCTTTACAAACCCCCAGGAGCAGCTGATCCTGATGCCCCTCTGCATAGCAAAAGGAGCTGTAGCAGGGACCTCGGAAGCAGCAAGCTGGAACAACAGGGACGAACAAAATCCCGGAGTGGTAGACGAGATGTATCAGAAACTCCGCAGCTGTAGCTGGAACCGCCGGGCGTCCCAGCAGGCAGGGTGTCTGGGCTACAGTGTAGCAAAAACCCGGAGCAGTGGTAAAGAAACGGTGGGGGCCGGGCAGTGGCAGCCCGGCTCCCAAATCCGGCAGGGAGAGGCTCTCTGGGAGGGGGAAAGGGCTCGGGATCCCGGGGTTTCCCCTGAGGTACCCGAGCAGATGGTGAGAGCCCTTTTTTTTAGTGAGGTAGGGTGTTAATAATGTGAGAAATTATACTCACTTCTAAAAAATTTTAAAAGGTTTATTAAAACCTTATCAAAACTACAACAGAAGACTGAATAGAGAAAATATTACGGCACCGAGAGGAAAGGATTTTTCCCGCCATGTGCTCATCCACACAATGGTGGTTTCGCCTTTTAACCCTTTAGCCGCTCCCAAAGTTCTGTCCATCGATT